CTCTCCACTCTCCACTCTCCACTCTCCACTCTCCACTCTCCACTCTCCACTCTCCACTCTCCACTCTCCACTCTCCACTCTCCACTCTCCACTCTCCACTCTCCACTCTCCACTCTCCACTCTCCACTCTCCACTCTCCACTCTCCACTCTCCACTCTCCACTCTCCACTCTCCACTCTCCACTCTCCACTCTCCACTCTCCACTCTCCACTCTCCACTCTCCACTCTCCCTCTCCACTCTCCACTCTCCACTCTCCACTCTCCACTCTCCACTCTCCACTCTCCACTCTCCACTCTCCACTCTCCACTCTCCACTCTCCTCTCTCCACTCTCCACTCTCCACTCTCCACTCTCCACTCTCTCACTCTCTCACTCTCTCACTCTCTCACTCTCCTCACTCTCCACTCTCTCACTCTCCACTCTCTACTCTCTCACTCTCTCTCACTCTCTCTCACTCTCTCTCACTCTCTCCTCACTCTCTCTCACTCTCTCTCACTCTCTCTCACTCTCTCTCACTCTCTCTCACTCTCTCTCACTCTCTCTCACTCTCTCTCACTCTCTCACTCTCTCTCACTCTCTCTCACTCTCTCTCACTCTCTCTGCACTCTCTCTCACTCTCTCTCACTCCTCTCATCTCTCACCTCTCTCACTCTCTCTCACTCTCTCTCACTCTCTCACTCTCTCAACTCTCTCACTCTCTCACTCTCTCACCTCTCTCACTCTCTCACTCTCACTCTCTCACTCTCTCACTCTCTCACTCTCTCACTCTCTCACTCTCTCACTCTCTCACTCTCCTCACTCTTCTCACTCCTCCTCTCTCACTCTCTCACTTCCTCTCTCTCACTCCTCTCCTCCTCTCTCTCTCTCTCTCTCTCACTCCCATCTCCTCTCTCTCACTCCCTCTCTCCTCTCTCTCACTCTCACTCCTCTCTCTCCTCACTCCTCTCTCTCCTCTCACTCTCACTCTCACTCCTCTCTCTCTCACTCTCACTCTCACTCTCACTCCTCTCTCTCTCACTCTCACTCTCACTCTCACTCCTCTCTCTCTCACTCTCACTCTCACTCTCTCTCACTCTCTCTCACTCTCACTCTCACTCTCACTGGCCGGTCGAAAAATGTCAATTGTAAAATAGTGGAACTTCTAGGGCTACATTATATGACGTCACCTTACGCACACCGATGGGGCTCAAGAAAGTTGCACAAGAAATTTATGTTAGAGTTCCTATTCCGCTTTACAAACCTGTGAATATCTTATGTATCCAAATCCTCACAACGGAAAAAAATTGTTGGGTCATTTGAAATCCGGTGATTTGCTGTTTTTCAGCGCAGCCACAAAATGTCTGCGCCATTAAAATACCATTTGCATATCAATAATTGTCGAGCCCAAAATGGAATCTGCTTTAATCTGCTGTGATTGAAAAGGGTCGCACATCAAGCCGCTCTGGAAAGTTCAAAGGAAATTAGAAGTCTTTCTTTAGAATTGAATAATTCATGGCTTCCCTTCGCGTCCGACGGAATTTCCGTCACAGTTTCCCTGCAAAGAAGCAAAGATTTATCGTTCCCGCACGGATTAATGTTTCCATGTGCTCATACATCCAAGAGAAATGTGCGCACAAAGTTGTACCAACTTGACACTTTTTACGACATTGGCACAAAACGCACCTAGAAAAATGTCGCTTCACATGGTCATAACATACCATAGCTGCGTGAAATGTCGATGTTCATGCAGCGGTTGGCAGACAGCTGAATCGCTCCACCACGGCGATGGTGTGGGGGTCGTCGCAACAAACTGCGCTTAGCAGCGAACCTGTTTAGAAATCATACTGACAACCCATTGGGGGAAATCTTCACGGAAACCAGCCCCAGGCGCCAGTCGGTCGCGCCTCCCCGTAACGGCAAACCAGCCCCAGGCGTCAGTCGGCCGCGCCTCCCCGTAACGGCAAACCAGCCCCAGGCGCCAGTCGGCTGCGCCTCCTCGCACCGATAAACATGAGGGTATGTGCGCAATGCGGGATGGCAGGGATTCGAATGAGGAGCATTAGAGCGTCAGGACTGCTGTGGTGCACCGAGCAATCTGTGATGGGTGGTCAATTGGTGGCTAATGCTTCAGTGATGCTGCTGAACAAATGATTGCCTGAATACAGATATCAAGCTCACAATTTTCTTGATATTATTTATTTGGTACGAAGTAGGTGGGTTATGCCGTTTTGAGCTACGTCGGCATTCATTCCAGGGCAGCTTGCTTGCACCATGTTTAAACGCGGCCGATCGATTCCTCGATATGCATTTTCAAACTGGATAGGTCGATGACATCAGGTGTAGCACTGTCCAAAACCTGGTTGTTGCCCGCGGTGGGTGGAGTTGACGGTGTGAACGAAAGCTTGGTAAGACGGCGACAAAGATGACGAAGAGGATAAGGGCCACCCGGTCTCACTGTGTCGCTCCATGCGAAGCTGGGAAGGTCGCCTGTAGCGACGCAGGGCTGGCGGCCGTGAGGTCGTCCAGTCGCCACCGACCAGCTGCCCAAACCGCTGAAGAGCTGCGCAACCACTCCAGTGACATGCGTCACCACTGCAGCTTACTAACGACCGTGACGTCAGCTCTAGCGTGAGACGAAACGACTGCTCCCTCTGTTACGTTTTCGGAGGTTCACTCGCACCTCAAGAGACGGAAGTCGGCTCTGTACCGTGCAGCACATTGCCTCCCGGTACGCCGAAGCGTCTCCCTTCTTTTCCTGAAAGTGTTGTGGGTGTGTCGCTGAGAGACGGCACGCTGATTTACGGCGATGAAATATGTATTAAGTGGAATAGGCTCCGCAGTTTTAGGGGTCCGCGCCTCTGCATGCTGCCTACGTGTTGGCCGCGTAAAGGACCATTGCACGCGGCACGCGGCCCCAACCCTATCATTAAAGCTTGATGGGGCCGGGCTAAAGAGCCGAGCAATAGCCCACAATCGGCTTCAATCGATTTTGAGAGTATGTTCGAGTGACAGGCGTTTTCCGTGACATAGCAGTGCATGGAGAAAGCTATCAATCCAAAAAAAGATACCAAGGGCCTCTAGCCTTTCCACAAAAGACTAGAATCGACTAAACCGGTCACTAAACAGGTAGCGGCATGAAATGTCCTGAGCGAGTGACGAGAGCCATTGACCGAGACATTGCCTTGTCTGGTTATTTCACAAAGTTGTAGACCAGGCTACTGTCACTGGACTTTTTGAGGCGAGAGAACAGCTTTCTGACCAGGTGGTCCTGGCTGATGTCGGGCGGCGGTTCGTTCTTGCGCCGCTCGGCCAGCTCCCGCTCCCTCTTCGTGTCCGACACCTTCTTGAAGATCAGCTGCAAGCGCTGGGGTCTGGCCAATTCTGTTGGACTTGATCACTCGCTCTGTTCCAATAAATTTTCAATGCACTGCAATGTTTCTATTTGAATAGCCCACAGTTCTGGATGCTGTGTCCTTGGTTTGATCTGAAGTACATAATCAAATTGTAGTCAGGCCAGCTGACTGCGGAACGCCACGCTTGCAAGGGAATGGTTTCTGACACAACCCGCATTCGGAACACCATTGCTTTCTTTGTCTTTTTCGCACTTGCAACCGTGACCATTGTTCGCTGTTTCATCACGGCCAGGACAACAACTAGAAATCACCCCCGCAAAGGTATTATCCGGTCGCAATTACGCTCGTGCAGAGCAGAACATTCGGTGCCATGAAATCAGAACAACGCGTGAGCATCTGCCGCCTCCCGAGGTCACGCCACGGCACTGGCACGACCTGCAGCTGCAGCGTGAGCAGCGGCAGTCAGCGGGACCGGCAGCGGCAGCCGGCGGGCAGGCAGCGGCAGCCGGCGGGCAGGCAGCGGCAGCCGGCGGGGCCGGCAGCGGGGCCGGCAGCGGAAGCCGGTGGGCAGGCAGCGGCAGCCGGCGGGCAGGCAGCGGCAGCCGGCGGGCAGGCAGCGGCAGCCGGCGGGCCGGCAGCGGAAGCCGGTGGGCAGGCAGCGGCAGTCAGCGGAGCCGGCAGCGGAAGCCGGTGGGCAGGCAGCGGCAGTCAGCGGAGCCGCCAGCGGCAGCCGGCGGGCAGGCAGCGGCAGTCAGCGGAGCCGCCAGCGGCAGCCTGCGGGCCGGCAGCGACAGCCGGCACCAGAGGACCGCGTCACGCGCGGCGTCCCGGCGGCGCCCCACCCCCGCACGGCACCGGCCGACCTTTGACCGGCTCGCACCCGCTGGTGCGTGATATTAGCATAATTGACTTGATCGTCGAGGGAAAATTTATTCCTAATGGATTGCCGAGTGGCTCTCCATGTCGGGCGATTTGGACGATGGCGCGGCTGGCCGCCTCACGTCTGCAGCACCCCTGCTCCCTTCCCCCCCCCCCCCCCCCGGCCTCCGGCCACTGACCTTCGACCCGAACCAGCCCCATCGTCGCGGACAGACCTCCGACACTGGAAAGACGCGCGAGAACTCAGCCAGCCGCCTGTCCCGCGTCAACCACTTACAACAAATGTCTGTATGGGACCATTTCACCCATTTCAGAAATTACGCTAGTAGTGGAACGCTCTATAGCGGCTGCAATTTTAATGCGGCCGATGTGTGACCACCAAACTTTGTCGGTGCCGTCATCTCTAAAGTAGCCCTGATGTGTTTGTAAACCGCAGAACTACCTATTGTTAGTGATTACTGGTCGCCATGGCCAAGCAAAATAGCCCATCGCTGATGAATTGTTTAGTGTGTCGATCGCGTCTATGCATGCATTAGTATAGTGGGAATATTAATTTTTCAGCGGAAAGGATAAATCTAAGCCCCAAAACTCTGCAATGATCTGTTGAGCTTCCAAGGTTCTTTCGCGCACGCCGGTCATCTTGTTTGGCTGGATAGACATACGCCGCGTGATCGTCGTTACGCGGCAGCATGCAGTGCAGTAACAGACCCTTGTTAGGCTCAGTGGCGGGTGTGCGCGACATCTCGTGTGCATGGCGCCGCTGCTGTAACCACACGCCTGCGGTTGCAGCTGATCTTCAGGAAGGTGTCAGACGTGAAGAGGGAGCGGGAGCTGGCCGAGCGGCGCAAGAACGAACCGCCGCCCGACATCAGCCAGGACCACCTGGTCAGGAAGCTGTTCTCTCGCTTCAAAAAGTCCAGTGACAGTGGTCCGGGCGGCAGGTCGGTCTCAGCATATTGTTCAATCAATACAATACTTCAGTCACCTCATAGCGGCACTGACATGCGTCCTGGAGGCTCACACCTTGGAAATGTGGGCTTCATCAAGCATATGATGATAGCGGTCGTGTTCTTAGTGGCGTTCTGCACAAAACTATATAGTAGAACATCACTGAAAATAGCCGGACAGGAATACTTAACACTCAGCCCCCAATTAGTTCCAACTACCAGGTTGTCGCTTGCCCAAAACATCTTGCGAGATTTTACGAAGCCCATTACTCTGCAGTGATACATTTAAGTTTAGCTGTCTCACGCCCCACAGTATGATTGTTATGATGCTGCCAAGACGCTGTGGATTGGGATTCCTCATGACGTAAACCTCATGACGCTGTGGATTGGGATTCTACCGCTTATGGCTCATGATAGGCTGTGAGAACGTGATATTTTATCCTTTAGATAATGTACCACTAAATTTGATTTTGTCAAAAGATCAAATCAAATCAGAGCATGATACCCTTCAGTTGTAACTTTGCTTTGAATTTTGCTGAATTCCTAATAACCTTGAATGTGCGATGGTCGACCCCATCTGTTACGCAGGTATTTACGCGCCGGTATGCCGAAACAATATTATCAATTTCATTGGCACACACGCTGACATATCCAAACAATTGAAACCAATGCTTGTAACTGCTACATACACTCAGAACTATTCAAACATCAACAATTGAATCTTTTGAATCAAATTTGTTTGCTGTGCAAATGTGATCATTATGTGGTTTTAGTTCAGTAATGCTGAGCTACGCGGTCAGAAAAATTAATTGCAAAAGGAGCAAATAACTGTCTGAGAACTTCAGCATCAGAACAACCCTTCATGTTGCATAGGCTGATATGGCCGTTATTTCCTAAAATCTAGCTAAATCCAGGTAGATCATCCTCACCATGTTATCATTTGTCAGAAACAATGCATTAGTTGAGCGGAGAGTCTGGTGGCACTTGAGCAGCGCATCGCAGTACCCGTCCTGGATCGCCACGTACGCCTCGGCACCAGACAGTCCAGCTGGCAACAGCCGGCCAGCAGAGCTCACCCATCATAGGGCTGTAAGCCACAGGCACGTGACTAGGGCTTTGTCCAAAAAGAAGCTTGACTTGGTGGTCACTTCCCAGGGACGTAGAGGCCGGTAAGACTGAGGCCGACAATGGCGGCGGCGGCGGCGGCGCCACCGTTGCCACCGCTAACAGTGGCGGTGGCATTCTCACCACTATCAAGCTGCCCGGCGTCTCCGAGCAGCAGGAGGTCAGCAAGCGCGCCCGAAGCCGCTGGGGCGCGCTCGGCGGCAGCGGCGAGGCCGCCGAGGAGCGGCGCGACAAGAGCAAGGTCAAGTGGGGTCTCAAGCTGACCTCTTCGTCGGAGAGAAAGACGGGTGACCCACCGTCGCCGGCTGAGGGCGACACCTTGCAGCGTCGGCTGGCCACGCCCGAGTCGGGCCCGGCGGCGGTGGCAGCTAATGTCCCGTCAGCCGACCTCCAGCGGCTGCTGGCCAGCCTGGTGGACTTCAAGGCCGACCTGCATCTGGAGCTGCAGCGGCTGCACCAGCGGCTCGGCCGGCTGGAGACGACGCTTGCGGACGTGTCGCGACGTGTGCTGACCCGCTCGTCCAGCGAGGGTGCCGCCACGGACGTGTCCAGCGCGCCGGGTCTGGTCGTCTCCAGCGCGACGACTCCCAGCTCGCGCGAGCCGTCGCCGGAGCCGCGCGACGGTGGTGCCGCGGCGCGGACGGAGCGTGGCGCCGCCGAGCGGACGAGCGCGCAGGCGAAGCGGCGCGGCGGGGAGGCAAGCCGGCGCACGGCGTCCCGGCTGCGCCGCCGCTCGTCCACCGCGCAGGCGGCCGAGCCGGACGGTGATGGCTCGTCGCTGCTGCAGCGGATGCTCGAGGACGAGATTGTGTCGCAGAAGAGCGTGGCGGCGCCGTACCGTGACGGCCGCCCTAGTTCGCCGGACGAGTACCTGTAGCGGCCAGTCCGGCCCGGCGCCGACGCCGCAGCCGTAGTCTTGTCGCCGCCCGCCTCCTTTTGCACTTTGTCCGGAGAGAGGGTCAAGCCATTTTGAATGGCTGCGGGAGCCAGCAACCCAGTGATGGCCCCACTTTAACGTGCGATTAAATGGCCTGGTAAGTGGCCGGGTGCATGAATATTGTTGTTATGCTGGAGTTCAGAAGTATACAGGTTTGTGTGTTTCAAGCGGTGTAAAGATATGTCCATAGAATGGAATGTAGCAATTTTTTGATCTTTTAACAATTTCTTTATTTTACCATTTAACCATTTTTTACCATTTAACAATTTCGTGAACAGGGCCAATATTTGTGGTGCTTTCCATTAGTCATGGTCGAAATTTGCAGTTTGTATTCGCCTCGTCACCTTTTCTTCTTCGTAGCCTGCGGTGAAACAGGATCCACGCTCTTTTAGTGCGCCCAAACAACAAAATGACATGTTTTTAAATCCAATGAATGCGTGTGCGGGACTGAAAAGTGTGTATTTGCACTATTCCATATGTATTGTCACATAATATCACTTGGTTGTTATCGGTTTGAGACCTGTGCTTATCCTCTCCAGTCCGTTGATCATCTGTTGCGCTTGCCTTTTGCAAACTACGATGGGAAATCAATACATATTTTGTAATCGAATGGAAATAAACCGATATTGAGCCGTGCAATTGCGCCGAGGTTTCTTTGCATTCTATGGCATGGAAACATTTACACTAGCCTTTCGAGCGTGTTGTGCGTCAACAATAGCCGTTTGATATCAGTGCAAGATAGCAGAGAAAAAAAGAACATCTGAAAATCAAGCAAGTGATGGCGACAAAATTTATCTGCTGGTTGACTGATGATATGCAACGAAAGACATCAGCTGGTATTCCTATTTGAGATGTTGCTTGAGGTAGCGTCGACCTTGCCCGCTGGTATTACTGGTGCCGTGTGTGGTGCATATCCCACAGTGCACTGCAATCTGCCCATTTCAGTTGTAAGCCACGTGCAAAGCTGGAACACGGTTCAGAACGTTGTATTTTATACACGGAATATCGATGTAATCGACTGTTTCGGTTCGATTTCGATTTCGGATATCGATTGTGTCATTCACTTTGTCCCTGTGAAAACCGGCGAACCACTTGTCGGTGGAAATGAGACTCGCCCACCACTCTTATCACTCATTTAGGGTTTTTTGTGACTAGATGAATGCTAGATTACAGAGAAAAAAAGGTTGGAGAGAAATTGCTAAAATCCACAGAGTCCTAGACATTTCACATCAGCACGAGCTTATCATTTTTGTCATGAAGTCTTCATTTAGTGATGAAAGCAATAGGCGTTACATGACCAGGGCGGTCGGCGCGCCTTTAAGCCCAAATCATAATGATAATAATCATCGTCATCATGAAAGGGAACACGAAGCATTTCTACACAGCCTGTGTAGTTTTGACTCTACCACACAGATGTCCGCGGTCTCATCTCACCTGAAGTGTTGCAATGAGTATAGCTTGTCATCAGCGTTGCTGTACGTCGCGCAGTCCCTGGAGTATTGCGGGTGTCGGGATGCGATCTCGTCAGCTCACATGTGTCGCAAAGTACCACTGTTACTGTACGTCAGCGCAGTCCCTGAAGTATTGGGGGTGTCGGGATGCGATCTCGTCAGCCCACCTGTGTCGCAAAGTACCATCGTTACGTCGTTACCATGCAGTGACGTAAGGTATGGCTCTTGATGGTTTCAGTTTTACGCTTCACTTGCCTGCCAATCCGCTATGTACGGATCTATGATTACAATCCGATGCGGTCGGTTGCACCAGCAGCAATGGATTATACTAATCAGTCCCAGGTCACTTTCCACGAGTGTACCGCATTGCCCAGCGAAAAATCAAACACATTTTGGGAAAGTGGTTGTTTTGCTGGTTTCCTCGAGTACCAGCATAGGCAAAAATTCGTTCATCTTGAGTTGGCTGCTCCAGTAGTGCACCTGTATATTACGTGCCACACCGATCAGGGTTATCGTTTTACAGGAAGAAAGGTGAATTGTTTTCGAGATGATAGGGGGCTTTTGTTCTTTAAGTCTGTCACTTACGCACAATGCCCGTGAGTGTCCTTTAAGGTTCTGAAGCATTAGTTACTTCGGTGCATTATAATATACTGGAATTCTAAGCATAGTTATGGTTTGATTCGCAAGTGATGTTACATTCAATTGTGTCCATTGTATTTTTATAACTACATGAGCGCCTCTTGAACTGCACGCATACAAATTACGAGTGCGCTGGTCGCTAAAGCCCAGCATGTGACTCAAAATGTTTGCGGGCTTGGTCGCACAAAAGCTTCTGATTTAGCTGGTATGATCCGTGACAAAAACTGACACTTTTGCGAGCCAGTTGGTGACAGAATTACGAAAGCAAAAACAAATTTCAACAGACAAGGCCATGTTACAACAGATTATCTCCGCTCGACGAAACTCAAAGCTTAGCATCGGTCTGCACTCGCTGACGTTTGCAGCGTGATCACGTGCCAAAATGTTGACGTTTCACTGCTTGAGGAAGTTGAGCTATACGATACTACCAAGCATAGTGGCTTTAATCAGGATAGTTTTTAGCAGGTGACAAAAACATACTACACATTATACTATGTCAGTGCTGACGTCACAGATCACTGGTGACATAACGCCTTTCCAATACCCGTCAGATCAGTGCTTTTTACAGACTTTTCAGCCAAGGTTCACTTCACATACCAAGCAGTATAAAAGACCAAATAACTAGGCTTATTACCAGCCGTGAGAATCGTGGCTGGCCACGACATCTTGCGACGAACGTGATCAGCTTGCCACGCAGCGTTTTAGGCGTCGTGCCATTTGAGACCGATGGGCTTGATTGCTCGCCACGCGGTAATGCGTTGGGTTCAGTGCAAGGCTGTGGGCTGCTGTTGGTGTTGTTCATGTCGTGAAAAGCTGAATGGCTAAAAAACGTAGGTTATCGTTAGTTTTAAGGCAATAGCGCTAAAAAGCCCTACATGGCTGCCGATCCAGGAGCCTTGTTGTTTGTGGACACATGAGTTCAGTGTCTGAAATTCGGTTTTGACTCTTGGGGGCGAGAACAAAACTTTTAAACTCATGGCTTGTAGGGAGGACAAAATAGCCCTGGTGAATTGGTATGGTATTCACAGCTGACACAAAAGAATATCCTTTGGCAGCAGGTGACAGTAAACGCCATTCTCTAGCTGGTCTCAGTGATTGCCAAAAGATCATTACGGATTGGCTGCTTGCAATTCTTAAATTATCTGGCTTCATAAGTGAGTGCTTCCTTCCTAAGTCTATCATCACGCCTACTGTAGATTTTTGAAGCTAGTTGATAGAAAGTTGCAGATGAAGAAAGCAAGAAAAGAAAGCAAGTTGACACGAAGCTGTTTATATTGATAAGTCTATTGTAAAGGTGTGAGTCCCAATTAATGCTGACAAAAACCAACGTTTAAATGTTGTGCACTTGTCGAACCATTCCCTAGAGCACGTTTTAACAAATTTGTGATTGCCAATGACAAGAGAAGAAAAAGCAGCTCCTACAAAAAAAAACTCGGAAGGCCACATAAATGGCGCGCTGGGAATAGCAGTCTTCAACGACAGAGCCGCTGTAAGTTATTTATCGGTTTTGTTTTCGTTTAGTGCCCCTTTTATGCATTTTAAGCGCGTGTACAGCTCGGATTTCTTGGTGGAGAATATGCCTTCTCTCCAGTGCTGAATCCCCCCCAAGAGCCGGAGACTCGCGGAGTCGTGGATTTCCGCGCTCCCAAGCGGATGTTTTGGGATGGTGTTTGACGTCACCATTACACCCTCTAAACAACCTCCATTTTTGTTAGATTCAAACGGAAATTTGATAGAGGTACTAGTAAAAAGAAGCTAAAACTAATTTTTGATCAATACAGCTCAATTCACGCCATATTCAGGAATCAGTGTTGGCGTGACACCACAAAGTTTCGTATCAATTTTTATTGTGTTGCGTTACGACCATTTCTACGTGCAATCCAGAAACGTTGAATCGTGACGTATACGAGATAGTCTCTACGCTTCCCACCGGCCCCTCAAGAGACGCTGCTGTTTTGAGCACGGGCTCGGGCCCGGCATGAGTGCGTCGGTGTCGTTGGACGGTAGGTGGGTTAAACGTGCGCTGGTGAGTAGCAACAGACCTGGGCACTGAGTGCATTGCAAGGAAAGATTGTTTGTGATATGGTGGAGCGATTCGTCTGTAACCCGCAAGCAGTATCCCTCATTTAGTCGTGTGAGTGTGGCACGCGATGCTGTCGAAGTTTCAAGCAAGCTTGCCTTTATCTGACGTCGCTAAAGGAGACAAATTTTTGGATTATTTCCAGCATATATTTGTGGAGAACAAAATGTCGTGGGGCTAAAAAGACCAAGACTTGCCCAAGTTTCAGACACTGCCTGAGTTGTAGTTTCAGAGACAAACGAAGGTTGTTGGAATGACAAATGTCAGAAATTCACCTGGGGCTTTCTGCTACTGAGTGCAGCCGCGGCTTTGAGGTAAGAGGCCGAGCATCGCTGGTGTATGCCTCTTACATCGTCCATTGCACCTCAGACTTAGCGCACTGATCTGTGGGCAGACGTCAGATAAATGTTTTTGGTTGTCATCATATTGCATATAAAGCTAAATGATGGTGCTAGAGGTGTTCAAAAATGTCGTTTGTCATTGTCGTTTGATACCATTATTGTGTGGATTTTGCTCTAAATAAATAAGCTCATGGTAGTAGGTGCGAAATCTGCACCGGCAATGATTATGCGAAGATAACGAAGATCGCCAATGCTTCCAGCTGACTACGATGACGCCACGGAAACAGCAGTGGTATTGTTTCAGGTGCTTGTAGAGCCGTGCAATCGATAAATATAGGGTTGCGTGGATACAGTTCTGCAAAATACGTGAAGGTGAGGGACGGAAGGGGAAGGAGCGCAGGACGAAAAATGACTGAGGCTGCCCTCGAA